GAGGCAGAGTCAGGCAGCTCTACATAGTTCGAAGCCAGCCTGGTCTATAGCATAAGTTCCAGGACAATCAAGGATACACAGAGAAACCCTGTCTCAAAAACAAAACAAGGGGGAAGAAAGGAAGAAAATCTAGCTTTGTTGGACGGTGAAGTCTGCTCAACTGTCACTTCATGTCTGTAAGAACACAGGACAGTGTGACAGTTGTAACCGGTTAATGTTGTGACTGTAGGGGTGGGTTCCTGCTATAATCTAGATGCTACAACAGTAAATCCATCCCCCTCCCACCCCCGACGCGCCTTTATTCTCTGTCTTCTATTACGGGGACACAAATGGAAGAACCAGGCTCATGGGCTTCTAGAAACATGAACCAAATGAACCTCCATGCGTTATAAATTACCCCACCTCAGGAAAGAGACAAAACAGAGTAGAACACAGCATCTAACGGTTCAGAAAGCACGATGCATGGGTGAGATGAGGGAGAAAGCACGAGGCGTGGGTGAGATGAGGGAGAAAGCATGAGGCGTGGGTGAGGTAAGGGAGAAAGCACGAGGCGTGGGTGAGATGAGGGAGAAAGCACGATGCATGGGTGAGGTGAGGACTCCCTGCCTGCAATGTGTGTCTCAACTTCTCTCTTGTCAACACTGTGCAGAAGCCCGCACACAAAACACTCCACTTTTCTCATTTATGTCCTCTCAGTAAATCCTTAGCCAACAGTGGGTCACTCCTCCCAGAACCTCCCAAGATTCCTCCACCTCCTCCACACCACACACTTCAGTTTCTTGGATGTTTAACCAGGGATCCACCAAGAAGAGTATTGAAATCTCAGATCTGCCCTCAAGAAATTCTCAGTCAAAGAGGTGGAGTATGCCCTAGGATTTTTCCACTTTTATTTTATTTGTTTGCTATTTGAGACAGGGTCTCACTACGTAGTGCTGGCTGGCCTGGACCTCACGATGTAGACCAGGCTGTCCTTGAACTCAGAGATTTGCCTGCCTCTGCCTCCTGAGTCCTGGGTTTAAAGGTGTGCACCGCCATACATGGCTGGGAACGTGGATTTTTAATAAACTTTCCAGGTGGTTCTGAAGGAGGTTGGTGTGTTCATCAAAAGGAGGAAAATGTTCAAGTCCTGAAGAAGACATTAAAGTCCCTCCTGAATGTTGGGAGAAGTCATTCTGTAAATATGTGTCTGATTGGTTTGAATAAAGCACTGTGGGCCAATGGGGAATCAAGATAGGTGGGACTAGGAGTCGAGGAGGATTCTGGGAAAGAGAGACAAAGGCAGACATGATGTAGGCCGCCAGAATAAGAGATCCAGACCCTTTTCTCTGATAAGAGAAATACTTAGATTAACAATTATGTGTTAAATACTTAAGTCATAGCTAGCCAGTAAGAAACCAAGCAAACGGCCAACAGCTTCATAATTAACATAGTGCCTTGTGTGTTATTTGGGGGCTAAACCGGCAATGGAACCCAGGCAGGAATCCCGCAACAGGATGGTGCCCAACATGCGGTTGTCAGGAGTGGGATCGCGAATTTCCACGTAGAATGACAAAAGCTTAAAAGGGATTTTAGAAACCAAAGAACAGAGAGGAGCACGGCTTCTTGGTAGCAGCATTTTTCTCAGGTGAGCTCTGTTTTGCTAGAGACGAGCAGAGACTACGCGGCTCCTTTAAGGGAGGTTTCCTGACTCAGCATAAACGGAAAAACCTCATGGCTCTTTTAAGAGGCCCTGCTGACAACATAAAGACATAAAGTTTTACAGTAAAGTCAGATTCAGATGCAGTAAAACCTCTAGTAGGTTTACCGTGTGTTTAAAAATATACATAGGCTTGTGAGAGAAAAAGAAACAAGATAAACTGGTTTTAAAAAAAAGAGAGAGGAAGAATGGGTTGGGCGATGGTGGCACACATGCCTTTAATCCCAGCACTTCAGAGGCAGAGACAGGCAGATTTCCACAGAGAAACCCTGTCCCAGAGAAAAAATAAATAAAGTAAAATAAATACAGTAATATAAGCCACGTAAAGATGGAAAATACACAGAAAGTCTGGATACTGTATGCTATTGTGTTTTTCAGTTGTTCAGTGGCTAAGGAAGGAACAACTGCTAAAATATACTTGATTATAAATGCTGCTGAATTAATCCAACTTATATATTTCAAAAATGCTTTGACTTCTAACTTTAAATATAAGGACAAGTCGCTTGGGAAAAGAGTTTTTGTTTATGTTTCCACAGAAAATGGAAAGCTGTGGATTCCTTCCAGGCTTCTGTGGTTTGATGAAGCAAGACCCTCAGAAGCAGTGGGTCAGGTGTTCCAACATCTAAGACAGTTGAGATGATGCAGCATTACAGACCACAGAAACAAGGACTTAATACAGATTTCTGTGTTTTGTCATGATCCCCATGGTATGGACAGTACCCCCTATCAGCAGGAAGCAGTTTGGAATAAGCAACATCCAAATTACCAAATATTGTTTATAAATCTTTGTTTTCATTTAAATGAGGTTGCTTATACTTGGTTAATGATCACAACCAATCTCTTTTTAAAGGTAAAAGGGAAATTATGGTATGGAAACGAATACTTTGTATTGGTATGGTTTTTTATTTATTGATACAAATTCAAGGTCAATTTTGTGATGTGTACATTTCTCCTCTTGATTAAGTATTGTGGTTTTGTGTTTATACTGATCTTTTGAAACATAATGCATAATTAAGTACAGATTATAGATAGTTACTTATAATAGTCAGAACTTATAGTTTTTCTAGATATACAGAGATACATTTAAGATAGATAGTCCTCAAACCTTTCAAAGACCTTCAGAAAATGGCATTTAAAATGGTTTAGGGTTTTTCTTGACAATGAGAAATGTGTGCTCCTGGCAGCACCAATTACATCTGAGAGGAAGATAGGCATCGAAGAAATTCGTTATGGAGTTTGCTTTCAACATGGCAAGATTAGCCATTTGGGCAAGAAACTGCTCTTAACTGGATTGCTTGACTGTTGCTGTATAAACTGGACATGCGGGACCTACAGGAAAGTGACTGCTTAACTCAGTCTTACAGGGTTCCTGCTTCATGGAAGGGTCTACCAGACTTTCTGCAGGACACAGAAAAATGAATGACAGACTGCCAAAGCAGATGGACAGTTTGAAATTTCCTGCTTTGATGAGAAGTCTTCTGGACACATTGTGGCCTATGTGCTGAAGATGGATGCCCCAACATTACAGAGGAACTTCGGGTGACTGTCCAGGCATTGAGCTGTCTCTGTCAATTCTAGGGTTTATATATTATCCTTCTGTGGTCTTTGATGGAGTTGAAGACAGATAGTTATAATTATAGTTTTCCTTAGTTATGATAAAAGATAAGCTACATATAAGACTTTAGACTCACACAGATAGGATAGATAATAAAATACTTTCTTTAACTCTTACTAAGTGTTAATGGGCTAAATATTGTAACCATAGTTTTTGCTTGATAACTGTTCTGTTATATATAATTTGACTATGTTGAAGTTAAAACCTTTCTTTTATTTTAGACAGAAAAGAGGAGATGTTGGGAGATGTCATTCTGTAAGTATGTGTCTTATTGGTTTGAATAAAGCACTGTTGGCCAATAGGGAAGCAAGATAGGTGGGGCAAGGAGTCAAGGAGGATTCTGGGAAAGAGAGACAAAGGCAGACACGATGTAGGCCGCCAGAGTAAGAGATCCAGACCCTTTTCTCTGGTAAGAGAAATACTTAGATTAACAATCATGGGTTCAGGCCGGGCGTTGGTGGCGCATGCCTTTAATCCCAGCACTTGGGAGGCAGAGGCAGGCAGATCTCTGTGAGTTCGAGGCCAGCCTGGTCTACAAAGTGAGTTCCAGGACAGCCTCCAAAGCTACAGAGAAACCCTGTCTCAAAAAAAAAAACAAAAACAAAAACAAAAAACAAAAAAAAATCATGGGTTCAATACTTAAGTCAGAGCTAGCCAGTAAGAAACCAAGCAAACGGCCAGCAGCTTCATAATTAATATAGCATCTTGTGTGTTATTTGGGGGCTAAACGGGCAACGGAATTCAGGCAGGAATCCCACAACAATATGGCACCCAATGCCTGAATGCCACCCAGTTTTACTTTGGGGGACTCAATTATTTCTAGTTTGCCGCTCATCAACTGACTCACCAGTAAGCAGCAGTCCATGCACGTACATTTCTCATCACCTATAGCTACTTTTCTTTCTTTCTTTCTTTCTTTCTTTCTTTCTTTCTTTCTTTCTTTCTTTCTTTCTTTTGGTTTTACAAGACAGGATTTCTCTGTATTTGTTTTGGAGGCTGTCAGTCCAGCCCGGCCTCGAACTCACAGAGATCTACCTGCCTCTGCCGTTACTTTTCTTTCTTATGTCAGATACGTGACAGACGCCTTAACCTCCAGGGCCACCAGTCTGTTGACGGCATCAGACAGAACTAGGTATATCCCGTTGTTCCTCTAGAACACTATCAGATTGCTATGTCACTCTAATAGTAACATTTTGTGGCGGGCCCTCTTTATTTAGGCTGAGGATACAGCTCAGCTGTCGAGTGCTTGCCTAGCACTGGGGAGGCCTTGTGTTCGACGCCCAGGATCATAACCATACCATCAGTCTTGTCAGGAAGTACATAGGGATGTTCCTGATTCTTTACACTGGGCCCAGCTCAGTGAGGGAGGGAGTGAACAGTGCATGCAATTGTGCTCTGAGTCCCTGAGCTCTCGTGTTCCAGGCTGGTGAGATTGCAAGCTCTGAGGAAAGGGGGGCCTCCCCACTTCTGTGTGCCCTCCAAATCATGCCAGGGACTCCAGTCAGTGAAAAGCATCCAGTGGGTGATGACAGTTAGCGGTCCCACCGTCCCAGCTGAGGGAGTGCCTCCACGTGTCCCCTGCCCTCCCTACAGATAAGAAGGGTCCTGGAAAGCTGGGAGCACAGGGCCTCGTTGCCAGCTCTCCGACCCTTCTGTTGATAGAACCTGTTGCTATAGAGACCGCATCGCTCTGAGGGCCAGAGCTGAATGAAGCCTCCAGAGAGGCCCCTCCGGAAGGCTGTACATGGAGTCCCTTCACCCAGCCATCCACTTCCTCCTCTATTTGCTCGCCTACTCCTGTGTCTACTCGTGTTTGTATTTGCTGGTTTATTTTATCACCATCTTTACAGAAGACTAGGCGGCCAGCTGGAAAAGCCTCTTTGGGTAGAGAAGGCCCCGCCCACTGCCCGTGGTGAGATCTCAGACCCAGCTGGTACTGGTCAAGGAAAGACTAAGGGTTTGTGAGGGCGAAGGCTGGCCTGGCAGGAGGGGGCGGTCCTGAGGGGGAGCAGGGTGGCAGGGGCCACATCAACCTTGGTTCTGCCTGAGGAACTCACTGTAGGATCCCACCCCACCCCGCTGGCAGGCTCCCGAGGACTGGTCCAGGGCTTCCTCACGAAGGCACTGAAGCCCGGAGGCAGGGACAGGCCAGGCTAAGACGCCTGCTGGCTGCAGGGGCACGGTGCGCCTCTAGACGTCAAGCCTGGCTTTCACAGGCTCTCCGCTGCTCGCTTTGCCTCGACAAGGGCGGCACTGGCCTGGGCCAGGCTGCCCCCACCCGTGTCTGGCTTCTCTTTCTGCCCTGGTCGCTTCGGGCTGTCGGGCCTGTGGGAAGACCTTCATCATCGGGAATGGCAGCCCAACGGCCCCGAAGTGACCCATCCACTTAGTCAACGTGTGTGCATTTCAAACGGCCTCGCTCTGCAGTCGCTCAAGTGCCCAAAGTTCTGAAGAAAGCCGAAGCTGGGGTGGGTGCGTGGACCCCTGCTGCCACACAGCTCAGGATTCCCATTAAGTGGGGGTTGTCTGCCAATGCCTCCAACGTGAGTGTGTTTGTAGGCAGCCGTGAGTACTCTCGGGAGGGAGCGTGAGGGACACGAGAGGAGATGGAGCGGGGAGAGAGGGGTGGAAATTACGTATATACAGTATTCATGTATGAAATTCTCCAAAAAAAAGTAAGACATAAATAAATACTGACTTCTTTTTGGTTGTCCAAGAGAGGTGCAAGTGTTTCATTTAGGGGGCTGAGTCATATCTGGGGAGCTGGCCTGGTGGCTTTAACTTAACAGGGAGGGGAATAGACCTTTAACCTGCTCATGAAAGGGAAGGGTTGGGACCTTCGGAGGATAGAAACGTTGAGAAACTCGGCGTCTCGAGAGCGTCTCTCTGTCGCTGTTTCTGTGGCTTCCCCAGGGGTCGGTCACAAATGAGGCCTGGAGGTCAGCACAGCGCAGGGAAGGAACAAAGTGAGGGTCTGGTCCTCCCAGGAGCTGCACCTGTCGAGTAGATGAGGCCGGCGCTCAGCCACTGTTTCTTGCTCGTCTCTGTCTGGGTGAAGACTGCGGACAGCGAGCGTGTCTTTGTAGGACAGGGTAGCGGGTTCACTGCTTCAGGGGCGTGAGGGGCTCTGCATTTCCTCATCTTGCTTTGTTCGGACTCCTCCTGATGGTGCTGATTAGAACCCAGCACTCTCCAGGAAGCCCCCAAATTGGATCAGTCTGGAAAGCACAACGGAGATGAAGGGCGAGCTCTGGGAATAAGTATGTAAAGCAGAACCTCGGCTCTCCAGGGACTCCTTTTGTGTACCCCAGCTTTCAGCAGTCAGACAGCATACCACCCTGACATCTTAAATAAAAATTTCAACAATTTTTTGTTAAATATTAAAGAATGCTTTGGAAGGAAACCATTATTTTTAATGTACTACTGTTAATATGATAGGTATCTCAGAGATCTCATGGTTGCTATTTATAAGATGTATTGAAGTTTTAAAAAATTTTTTAAAAAAGATGTCTTGAAGTTATGAGGCACTTCAGCTCTTTGAAACCATTATGGCTCTGGATAGAGAAAACTGTAAAGTCAGCAAGTTTTTGAATTAGAGACGTTCGGATGTGAATAAGAAATAAACTCCAACCTGATATTTTATATTACCACATTGTTACATGGTTGCTGTGGGGATTTGTATTAGAATACAAACTTGAAGTGTGTTAATGTTTTAACTTTGCAATAGTAAACTCGCGGTTAGAAGAAGTTAACTACAGAATGATGCTCAGTTGACGGAGTGTGTGCCAGCGTGCATGGGGTCGCCATGCTGGATCTCTACCCTAAAAGTCATCTAATTTGACCGTGCTGTTTGAACAGCAAAGGACCTGGGAGGAAGGCTCAGAGCCCGGCGGGTGACAGAGAAGAACGCTTACCGCGAGTTAGTGCTTCTGCTGTGTGTGTTAAGGGAGCTCACAGTCATAGGTAAGGCACCACAGCGCTCCTTGAGGGCTAGTGGACAAGTCTGTGCAGAGGTTCTCAGTAAGGAAAAATATATGTAATGAAGATGAACCATGCACATACAGTTTTGCAAGAACTCAATGCACATTGTGTCCAGTGTGGTCTAACAATGTGTTTGCATGAAGTTTGGTCAACAATTATTATTAGAGGGCATCTCTACCAGCAACTGATTTGAGAGACAGCCCTAAAATCTATAATTGCAAGGCATTAGATCACTTGTGATCTGTGAGGTTTCATGATTGTTCCTTGGGTAGTGGGGGTCATTGTTGCTGTGTGCATTGTGTATCTTTGGAGGCATATCGTCTAAGGAGAGCTGTATGGTGTGGTTCTGGCCGTTGTGAATGTGGCCAACAAGATAGCTTTCTGGTTTGGGTCAGGGGTTTTCATATTGAGCTCATGAATTTCTAGTCACTTGGTTTTAATTGGTGGTTTGCAAATGTTTGTTGAAATAAGGCCTTGTCAGTTGACTACAAAGAATAGAGTCATTTAAAGGTAACAGGAGCTCAGATTATTAAGATGAGTTCCTTGGGAACAATTTTAGTTTCCCCTCAATGTTTTACCTTGCCTGCATGGCGGACTGGAATATGCCATCCCAGAATATGAAGGATTGTTACCAAGCCTCGGATCTAGGAGTGTTCTCCACCTCCTCTGTCTGTGGAAGGCAAAGCATAAATTAAGAAGACAAAAGACCTTGCCTCTGTTTCCAAAAGAGAGAGATTACCAGGAGAGGCATTTACTCCTACCAACCTAGAGATGGTGACAGACGTATCTACAGCCTTTCTCTGCAGCTCATTTGTCTTCTCCTAACCTGGTGTCTCTCCTAAAAGAGTCAGACTCCTAAATTTTCTCTAAAAACTCATGCTTCTTTGTTGAAGATGCAGTGTAAATAAGCTAAGAGCCACATGTAAAGGAAATCCTCAACATCTAGGCTTTCCTCATTCCCTGTGCATATTTGAAACCTATTTGTTTTTAAAAATATTTTTAATTCTTTTATGTGCATTGGTGTTCTGCCTGCCTGCATGTCTGTGTGAGGGCATCAGCTTCCCTGAAACTGGAGTCACAGACAGTTGTGAGCTACCATGTGTCTGCTGGGAATTGAACCAGGGTCCTCTGGAAGAGCAACCAGTGATCTTAACGACTGAACCATGTCTCCAGCCCCTGAAATATATGTGCTGAGAATTATCTCTCTTTCCCCAGTAGGGGGTGCTGACTCAGTGTCCTAACATTGAGCTATCTTCAGTCCTTTGTGTACTTTTATTTTGAGACGAAATCTGTTTTAGGCGTTGGCATTTTGGGCACTTGGGATGCGTCAGGTATTCTGGCACTCAAGAGTCACAGAATACTGAGTGTTACACAGCTCAGGTAGAAAGGTATCCTGGAGCTCGGGAGCCACAAAATACTGAGTGTTACACAGCTCAGGTGGAAAGGTATCCTGGAGCTCGGGAGCCAAGGACCACCACAGGTTGTAGTAAGCTTAGCAGTTTACAGCCCAGCCTCAGGGAAAGGCTTCCCCAGTGTATGGGCTCCTCTCCAGCAGGACAGGGTCTTCCTGCTGGGGAAGTTCGCCCAGTGTAGCAGTTTTGCTGGGCAGGAGGTTTCTCCTGCGAAGTTGCTACAGTTCAGCTCCCGGAGAGCAGGCAACTCAGCTCTGCCAAAGGAAGGTTTCCCCAGCAAGTGTTACAGCCCTGCCCTGCCCTGCCCTGCCCTGCCCTGCCCTGCCCTGCCCTGCCCTGCCCTGCCCTGCCCTGCCCTGCCCTGCCCTGCCCTGCCCTGCCCTGCCCTGCCCTGCCCTGCCCTGGGTTGTCTCTGCTCCGTCACTGCCACAAAAGAAGATCTTCACTCAAAGCTCATTGAAGGGGTTTATTGGAGGGAAGAATCCAGGAGAGTGGCTACATGGCTGCCCTCTGCCAGAGTGGCAGAGGACTCTCTGGCAGAGGACAGCTTGGTAGGGCAAACAGCCACAAGCTGAACAGACACAGGATTTATATAGGGCTTCCTGGGTGGGGATTGGTCAGATTTTAGTGCTGAGCTCAGATTGGCTAGAACTCTGCTCAGGGATTGGTTAGTTTTCTGCACAGGATTAGGATCAGATTTGGCTCCGGTTTCAGGCCAAAGTGTGTTTCTTTCTCTGGCCCTTTTTAGCCTTTTGGCTCCAATTTTAGGGCCAGGGTGCATTTCTTTCACTGACTCTGATTCCAGGGCCAAAGTGTGTTTCTTTGGCTCTGCTCAGGGTGTGTTTCTTTGACTGGTCCCTTTTCCCTACATTAGGTGCCCAGGCTGACTTGGCACTCACAGTGGAGCCCAGGCAGGCCTTGAGTGTGCAAACTTCCTGCTTCAGCCTCCTATGTGGCTGGGATTACAGGGCTGCGCTATCAGGCCCAGCTTTTTTTTTTTAATGTTTTTTTCTATGACAGATACTCATCACAATTAAAACCCCAGGAAATTGTTCATCTTCTATATCTGTAATTGCACTTTCTGAGAAATTGTGAGTTACTGAATTACAACAGCCGTGGTATGCAACTGGTTTTGTTAGCAACTGATATTCACTTCCTCATGTTACCACAGCTCTTTACACAGTTGTTATTTTGCTTAAGTTAATTAGAAATTAGAAAGGTGAAACACGAGTGTGAGCACGGAACCGGGACCGGCGCGATGGACGGAGCACAAGCCATGGAGAGCACGAGCCATAGTGAGCACATTAATCATAGTTTATTATGGCGGCGGGGGAGCAACGGGGGGAGGAGAGAAGAACGTGGAGAGAGAGGAGAGAGAGAAGAGACAGAGGTAAGAAGAGTGAGAGAAGCCGGGCGTTGGTGGCGCACGCCTTTAATCCCAGCACTCGGGAGGCAGAGGCAGGCGGATCTCTGTGAGTTCGAGGCCAGCCTGGTCTACAGAGTGAGTTCCAGGACAGCCTCCAAAACAATACAGAGAAACCCTGTCTCGAAAAACCAGAAAAAAAGAAGAGTGAGAGATAAGAGCGGTAAGAAGAATGAGATAAAAGAGCATAAGTGGGCCGGGGTCTGTCCTTTAAAGGGGTCCTTTGCACCTGCCTGCAGACTGGTTCTCATGGAACTCTGGGCTGGCCAGAGAACTGCCTGAGTGCATTCTGCCAGGTAACAGGGCAGGCCAGCGTAATGCCTGAATCCTTTCAACAGTAGTCTCTCTCTCTCTCTCTCTCTCTCTCTCTCTCTCTCTCTCTCTCTCTCTCTCTCTCTCTCTCTCTCTCTCTCTCTCTCTCTCTCTCTCTCTCACACACACACACACACAGCAAGCATTCTTACCACTAAGCTCTGTGTGTGTGTGTGTGTGTGTGTGTACACGTGCCTGTGTGTTCAGTTTCAACAAAAGGCTTTATTCTGTCACATTCTTTTTTTTCCTCCTCTAAGCTTTGGTTCCTATAGCTAGGGAAGCTGGCACAGGCTATTTATCTTACCCCCAGGTGGTGATTAAAGTCGCTTTCTCAAGTGTACAAAATTAATTTTGTGATAGAAAGCTGTGATCTCATCTCCTGATCTGTCCTCTGAGAAGTGCATAAAAGGAGGAGGTAAAAGTCTCAAAAACAATGGCCATGCTTATATTCTAATACCACATGGTAAAAATTGGGAAGGATCAAAGTAGTCATGTTTGAGTCTCTTTCCTTTACACAGAGGCTCTTTGGAAAGTGTTCCTTTGGAGCTTTCCTCAAAGCCACGAATAATCACCAC